AAAAAGGAAAAACCCCACAAATTACTGAACAATCCTATCTATCCTTACTCATAAACGAGTGGGATGACCTCCAGGTTGTGGACAGACCATCACTTAGAGGGTTGTTGCACATCAGTTTAATGGCTGTCTGTCCCTTTCTAGACTTACTTTAGAAGTAGAATGTGGTGGCTTGAAATAGCTTTGTTTATTGGGTTGGGTGGTCAGAAACATTAAGTTCACCCAATTTTTGTGTAATGTAGGAAAAATGTACAATATTTCACTCTCTCCGAAATCAGCCATAGAGAAGGCAGTCATTGAACACAGTTTAGAGTGCTTGTCTAATTATAACTAATATTTTTTTCTCTGTTGGTTTAGTGAGATACTCTCATAGAAAAATTAACTTTATATCCCATTTCTTAGCATACTCATTCAGCTATTTGGAGGAGGTTCAAAAAATGCTAAAATTATATATATATATATATAATTTTAAGTCTGTACTTTCTCATAGCCATTGATCTGCTGACTGCAGCTCTGAGCTGTGGTTTACCCAGGAGCTTCTTTGTTCCTAAAGGTAAAGTCTCAGAAAGCTGAGATGACAGGCTGGTCCTGGCGTGGTGGCCACATCTCCTCCTTACCTGTCCTTTGCAAAATTGCATTGCTGTGACTAAATTTCTGGGAAAATAAACACACAGAGGGAATTGGCACTGCACTAGAGCTGCTCCTTGTGCTCAAGGAGAAGTTTGGGTCCTCAGTCTACATTTGGCTTTGATGTGTGTGTCCTTCCTATAATTAATTAACTAATGAGCTGATATGAAGTAATTTTATATATCATGGACTATTGATAAAATCAGTGTTAAGTATATTAGCAATTAGGAAACTAAGAGGCTGGTAGGAATCCTTACGTGCAATTAACTACTCTGACTTAAATTACCGTCCTCCCATTATCCGCCGTTTCGATCTATAAACTGTCCCTTTCTGAAGATGGATGTGTATGGATGCACTCCTGGAGAAGCTGCACCACATCTTGGACTGTGTGCCAGTGCAGCAGGATGGATCTGTGCCTGGCACTGCATCCCACACCCCAGACAGTCAGACAGACTGAGGCGCCTGAATGTCCTCAAACACACAGGACTCCTTAGCCTAAATCCCTCTGGGTTTTGGTAAGGTTTAAGAGACCTAGCTCTGCATTTCCAATGATTGAAGCACAGGTGAGCAACTCCCATGGAAGTATTCTTGTGGATCAGAGAGGAAAAGTCTGCTTAAAGCAGTGCCTTGTAGCTGTGCAGTCCGGTCTCCTCCTGCAACCACTTAAACAGCACTGAGACCTACCCTGGTAAACAGCAAATTCTTTATTGTTTTACCAAGTGCTGACCTAATATTTTTCTTATGCTTTCTATTTGTTGTGAGATTTGGTTGAATAAGTTCTTGCTTCATAATAAACATCTCCCAGAGTTAATGGACCAGCAGAGAGGCTGCTGAGCTCCAAGCTGTACCAGCAGCCAGCGATTCCCAGGGAATTATTTGCAGGTGCAGGTACTTGGCAATGCTGGGGTTTGCCAAATGCAAACAGTAATGACTGGCATAAAAATTTTGGCCAGTGTGTTAGATGAGCTGGGCACACTGCAAAGCTGTGGCTTGCAGATCTCCTGCCCCCAGCTCAGCAGCAGCTCCACCAGAGATCTGTCTGCCATCACGAGAAAAGCCTTGTTGCCAGAGCTGTATCACAGGCTGTGGCACAATGTGATAGTCTGCTGCACAGCCTAAGGATGTAACGGGAAAAAGTAAGGCAAACCTGCACCATCAGCTCATACCCATTAATAACTCTGGGATTTTTTCACTTTCTTTGATTTATTTTCCCTATATTTTTTCACGTTGTCAACATTTGTCGCTGCTGTGTGAGCCAGCAGTGCCAGCCAAACAGCCCCTCACAGCCATCCCTACCCCAAAGACAGGTGCCCAGCCCTCCAGCTTTTCAGTGGCAGTAGTATCAGGCACATCCAGACTTGGCCCTTGTGGGATCAACCAACTGCCCTTTCTCCAGGCATTTTTCAATGTGTAATTGTGTGTGTCAGCAGAGCCATGAGCTCCAGAGTGGGCTGGGAGCAGCCCTGGAGGGAGCAGGGAGGTGCTGATGGGGGCCCAGGCAGGGAGACACACGTGGGGTGAGTGCCAGCCCATGTGGCTGGGCTTCTTCATTTCAGTGGATGATGCCTGATTTTCAGACAGAATTTGGGCTTTTGGTCTAATTTTATTTAATCTTGCAAGATCTCCTGAGAGATTTTAATGGGAACTCTGTATTAGCTGTCCCTACAGCTGCACATCCAGAAATTATTTAAACTTGAATGTTTTCTCAGCCAATCACTGAAAAATCACAACCTATCACTTCTACCTCTTTGCCAAGCCCTTAAATCTTCCTTCATCCTGGTGTGTTTGTAGCCCCAGTGCCTCTCTTTGAGGGTGTTTCTTCAGTTTCTGAGAATGGGACTTTCTAAAACAAGCCACACACATGGCATCCTTCTTTTCCTCACTTGTTGGAACCATCTGTCAGTAGTAGCAATAGTGGTGTGCTCAGAGGCTTCAACCGAGCTTTAAACATAAAATGGGGACTACAGCTGAAGTCCTGGTAGCAATTGGAAGGTTCCAACCAACCAGGAATTAAAGACAAGAGAGGTTGAATGGCTTCAGTAAAGACACATGGAGAGTAACTGTCCCAGAAATAAGAGGTCCCCTGAGAGCCTGGTAAATGTTCTGCTCTTTGATCTGCCTGTCCTTTGGTGACTAACCCTTCCAGGGGCTGCAGAGGGATGGATGTGCTGCATGGAGTTGGGCTGCACATGTATTTCTTGCATGAGTGGGATGGCATTGAATCACACCCCAGAATAAGTTGCACTTAAGCTTATGTGGGAGGTGCACGTGCCTTCAAAGGTAGAGGGTTTTACTTCTGAAAATTACCTGGGTGACAACAGATGACTATGAACATGCTCTCAGTCTTATTCATTTAGCTTGCTTCCAGCTCCATCAGGTTTTTTGGGAGGGTGTGTTCTTCCAGGGTCTGGTTGGAGTTTTACAGACATTTGCATGCTATCAGGTGTGTGCATGAGAAATGCTCTACCCCTGACACACTTGGCCTTTTCTCATACGTGACAGGAACCTGCTGTGCTCCTTCTGCTGGTTTTGGTGCCCCACACTCCACAATGACCTGGCCTGTTTGGTGCTCATTGTTGTTCACATGTACAGAGCAACATCTCTGAATAACACGGTCTGTGACACGTGTGTTGGCATTGCTTGTGCTAAATGCTGAACTGAAAGAGCTGAATTAAATCCTGAGTGGATATAAATCAAGGTGGCTCTACCAAAGTGCACTTTTCAAGTCCTGCCCAGCCAGTGCAGAGTCATGACATGAGGCTGCTGGACCCACTAGTTGGTCAGAAATCAGGATGAGTGATAATTTCAGTTTTCCTAACATGAGAGTTATCAGCCATAGGACCTGAGCTCCTGTTTGATTAGCTCTTGGTGTCACCCTGTCCTACTCATCTGATGCACAGTTTAATATGTGAAATGTTATATTTGAAAAATCGTCATTTAAATACCTTATTTATGTGTTTGTTTTGGTTTGGTTTTTTTGTAAAGACTAAGCAGTAAATTAAAAGGGATAAATAATTGAGAGATTAACTGCCATGTACATTAATTTCCATTGTCATGTATGTAATGCAAAGTACCACTACCATCACTACTTCACCATCATCATTAACAATGAGATCTAAAATTTACACTTATAAAATGTTGCTATGCCATGCCTTAATTTCCTTCCTGTATCTTAGTTATGTCCTTTATCACAAATTATCAGTCCTTCCTACGAGCACCCACCAGTGAAGTGGTGTCCCCACACAGTCTGGGACCTAGTTCAGCACCACCGAGGAGGGATGCAAATGATGGAACATTTGTGCCTGTCAGGCTGTGAAAAGCTTGGATGTGCTGCTGCTGCTGCTCTAACAAATGAGACTGCTGTTGACATGGCTTTCCACGAATTCCTATGATTTGCAAAATATGATGTTGAACAGCCAATTATGTTATATTAGTGCTGACTATGAAACAGGGATCTAATCTGAATCTCATTGATGCTAATGAACATTTTTACACCGACTTCAAAAGGTGCTGCTGGATCAAGCAGCAAATTATTTTCCTCCAGGGCATTTAAATTTTGATGTGTCCCACAGAACTGGAATCTCTCAGGTCTAATGAGCAGTGTGCCACTCTTGCCCTGTTACAAGGGAAACGAAGGGGCTGACATGGATGAAACAAGGAGGATCTTTCCTTCTGCCAGCTGTCTGACAGTTGTGACAAATTGTCTTCTGCCGTGAGGTCCTTCTGGAGACTCGGTCGTTGGTACGGGGGGCAGGGTCAGCAGCATAAACTTTCAGAGCTTCAAAAAAGGCCCCAGCCACAAGGTGCTTCTATAAAGCACATATTTCTGGCCTACTTGAATCCAGCTGTGTGACTTTCAGGTCAGGAAAGAGGAATTACAATACAATCTTAGCTAACTTTTGATTCTCCACAAAAGGTCTTAACAAAATTGGATGAGTTTTATATGAATATGTTAGCAGGGTGTAGAATAACTCTTTGCTTGCCTTCTTCTCACTGAACTGGTAGGTAGCCTTTCTAGTGTGAATAGAGGCCTTTTTTTGTAATGAAAGACTTATGAAAAATATAATAAGTGAATGGAAAGAGAAGCACAGTAAGTTCTGCATCTTTTCATTGATCTGTTATTTTTAGTAAATCACATGTAATCATAATACAAAATCCTTGAAATATGATGTGACAAAAATAATCAGAAATCAAGCTCAACCTGAAAATTAAAGGCATCAGCTCACAGAGTTCATGAAAGCAAGAATATATTTTAGACAGTTTAGTTAGCATATTGCAATCTATTTAGCAATGTACTTAGCATACCACTGCATCTGGTGCAGTGCTCTGTTCCCTATTAATTTTCAATACATTTATTCACCTGCTTTATAATCCAGATTTGCTGGGTGCTGCCAGATGTGCTGTCACATTTCCTCGGATTGAATCCAGAGTTTGCTGCCTACGTGCCTGATGCTGCAACTCCTGCAACACCTGCACTTGCCCCAGCCAGAGCAGATGGGTGTAAGGAGGCCAGTTCAACATCCAGTGTGAAAACGTGAGGTGAAAATTAATTATAGCATATACTATATGTGATAGAAATGAGTTACTGCCCAATTATGTCTCCTGTTTCCATTCAGATGAATTAATGCTTGTTGTGAGCCCTTGGGAATTCAGACACACTTTAAACTTGTAATGAGTGCTATCATTATTGCTTTTGACAGTCATTGAAGTATAATTATCTGATCATCTATTTTTAAAAAAAAAATCAAAACTTGTTATATATGAGTTTTAAACTGGCAAATTACAGAACAGTCACCTTAGCAGCTCAACCACTCAGCTATTTTCTGTAGTGGCACTGCCATCTCCTGGAAAAACTGAAATTGTTCTCCCAATTTTTCACCTTGAAAGAAACTTCTCAAGAGCAAGAGAGAGGTTAAGTACAAAAGCTAACAAGCTCTTAAATTTGAGGCTTTAAGTGTTGCTGAGATGCCTGATTTTGGTGCAGAAATGGCTGCACAGCTCTTTGTTATCAGAGGATTTTGCTGAGGAACAAGAATGGATGTGGTGTGTGGAGTGTTGTGGGCTACTCCTATCAAAAGGAGATGGTGGGAATGACCAAGTGCTCCAGCAGTTTGGTGTTTCTTCACAAACCATAACCCTAAACACAAAATGGGTTGCCCACCAAGGAATTTAGCAGGATCTTTTACTTAATGCCCCCAGCATTCAGTTACCCAGGAACAGCTGCTTTCTGACCACAGGATTTTAGCAGTAAAGAGGTTTCTAATGCAGCTTTCATCTGAAAAGAGATGGCATTGTAGATTTTTTGTCTGCTTTCTTGACCTTTTCTGAGCCACCCTGTGATAATTAGCATTGAACATCCTACCAACTTACTAAGCAGTGATTCTGGCTGTGCTGAAAGATTTCCCTCACCTCCAAGCATGATTCCCATGTCTCTAGGTGCTGGGTTAGTTTTCTTATTCAAATGTTATGGTTTTCCATGCCTTGTTTTCAGGATATTTTCATTCAAAACCAAGTGGATTTTTTTTACTCAAATTTCACTTCCAATTGCTGTCTCTCTGCTGGGCAGAAGCGATGTGTGAACTATTCATGTTTTATTACCCACACCCAGCTGGGCCCATTCCCATCTTCACTGTGCTGGAATACAGGTACTTAGGCTGCTCTGTCAGCCAGCCACACACAGCTCCAGCTGCACAGCTCCTGCTCCCACCACGCTCCATATGCTGCAGGGATGCTGACCTCAGAGGCATCCAAAAATTGCACAGCCTTTCACTAATGCTGTGGGTTCTGATATGGTTTTCTCTGCCTGTGATGCGTGTAGGATATCAAAGCTGCTGCAAAGGAAGTTGCTAGCACTCAATTGTCCTGCTCATTTCTCACTGTGCATAGTGTTGAATTGCTCTCTGAAATAATCCTGTGGACAGCAGGATTTTGGAAAGTGGCAACTGCTTTTTTGACTATGGTCAAAGCAAAAGACATGTCTGGCCTTCCTTTTACTAGAAACAGCTGATCTCTGCAAGATTTTTACGTCACACCTTGTCATAGATCTTTCTCTTAGACAAGAGCAGTTTTCTTTTAGGCAAAAAAACTTTTCCTGTGGTTTAGTAGGATAAATGGATGTCAAGTTGGTTACTTGGCAGTGTCTTCCTGCAACTGCACTGCTGATAGTTGAGGAACATTTGCATGTCTGCAAAGAGAAGAGAGGCAGCAGACTCTTTTCCCTCCCTGGACACATCTATTCCCTTCAGCCAGCAATAATTTTCTCTCATGCTCAGAGCAATGTTTGATATTAGTTTCACAATAAGCCTATCTGGAGACCACATCAGCAGTGCAGAGATTTTACCCAAGACAGATTGTGAATCCACATCGCTTCTGTTTTTCTAAGTATTCAGATCTTGGCATCTGCCAAGATTCCTCAGTCACAAGCTACTGCAAGTGTAGCTTGAACTGGCCTTGTAAATAGGGACAGGAATTCCTATGGCACTCCAAATATTTATTTCTGAAGAACTCAGATTTTCTAGCGAGTCGTTGTGCTTTCAGCTCTGCTCTCTTAGTATTGAGTAGCTAATAATGGCCTCAAAACAAAAGCACCAACCAGAAGGTTCTTCAGGCCTGGAAAAATGGCAGCTCACACTGCTGGCCACCACAGTGCTCCCTTTCCTCTCCTCCCACAGCATTTCTGCAGTACTGCCAGGCCTAAAAATGCACTTTCTGTAATAGCAGCAGAACCTGCCATGTCTGTGTGTCTCAGGTACAGGATCACTTGCCTGCCAGTGCACTGGGGTTTTGCCACTAAAGGTGCACTGAAAAGTTCAATACTGCCTCCATGTTCCAATTTCAACCTGGAATCTTAAAGCTTAGTGAAGGCTAGCAGATAATATCCTTATTACTTTATCCAATTTCCAGATTACACAAAGATATCACTGATAAAACAAACTGATGGGGAATGACATGCTTTTCAATATTTTCAGCATCAACACTTCTTCATATGTCAAATTTTTTTCATAAGCTGAAAGCTAAAGTTTAAGACCACTTGCAGATCTTAGATAAAACTTGAGGCTTCCTTGGTACTTCTGATGCTGTTTTGAACTTATGCACTCATTTCATGATTAACTTTTCCTGGTACCTGTTTTTTAATTGAAATGCTTCTTTCAATCAGTGTTAATTTCACTCCAAAATTTATGATTTTTTCGCAGTACATAAGTGGTTCTCTTAGAAGCCTCCTTGCTAACGTGTTCCACATACAGGTTGTTTCTGAAACACAGTGTTTCAATCATAGCATCACCTCCACGCTCTTTTCCTTCAGCAGCTCTGCAGTCACTGCTACCTCACATGCTCAGCAGAAGTAGACACACATTAATTCACCCTGACCCAAAGCAGCACAGTATTACAACCTGCTCTCTTTGCTCGTTAGCTGATTGCCTGCAAGAGGGCTGAGCTCAGCAGGAGCTCTCTGGGCACACAGAACTATTCCTGTGGAAATGTGATGCTGCTGCTCCAGGTCTGTCAGCTCCAGGTGATTCCCCAGGCACAGCCAGGCCCATGGGAGAGGCACAGAGAGCATTTACAGAGACACTGGCACAGATTTCCTATCAGAACTGCCACAGCCATCCTGCAGGGTGGTCTGGTCTCACTTTGGCACAGACCAGGCTGCAGGGACAAAATCCCAAAGACTCTTCTGGCAATCAGATCATCCCCCAGCAGACACTGAGGACAGTCAAATACAGGTATATCAAAATCAGGGGTGTCTCCTTGCACTAGCTCATGATTTGGCCCATTCTATGTAATCTATCTCTTTTTTTCCTAATATTTCTTTAAAAAATACTTTGTAGATGTAGATGATTATCCTTCTTAGAAAACAATGATTTATTTCTCTATGAAATATATGTCTGTCTTTAGACATATGGGAATGCACCAGTGGCAAGTTGAGCCTACAAAACAGTTGATTGATTTTCCTTGAAGGCCTTTCTCTCTTGCCTGGCTTCCAGTAAGGCAAAGGCCCTGAAAGGTGCAGCAGCTTTATAGCAGACATAAATGTTTATGTCACAGGTATCTGAAGGCAGTGACATGAACCCACTACTCCACTCTTTTCTATACAACTCCTAACTTGTTCTCCTTGGCTTCCCACAGTAAAAGATGCAGTGGGGACTCAAAATAAAAGAAATGTTGATCTGAATTATAAACCCAGGAAATAATCCAAATTGTCTGGAGTTCTGCTGATGTCAGTGAGAATTTGCATGCACCCCAAGCATGCTGGGGTCCATCCAGGTGCACCTCCCAAAGACAGAGGAGCTCACTGTACATGACTTCATACTTGAACAGAGCCAAGCTTTGGGAAGCTGGCACCTTCCCCTGTGCAACATCTTCTCTAAGGCACGCCTTGCATCATAATCAGCACCATAAATACTCCCTAAATTATTATCTCTACCTGAGCCACAATGAAATCAACTCAGCATTGAGAACTTTTATTTCTAAGTAACGTGGAAGTTTTGCCTGGTAATGGATAAAATTGTAGTTTAACTGGTCCTAAAGGTGGCTGGCATGTGGTAAGAAGGCCATGTTCTCTGGTTCCTACTGTACTAAATGCATCTTCTAGCTGAAAGAAAACAGTGATTATCAGAAAGTCAATTGTCATTCTGCCTCTTTAGAAAAATTCCCATTAAAGATAAAGCCAATTTTAATTAGATTAAGTATCCAATTACTGTAATTACATTTTTAAAAAATTCACATCATGAGGATGACCCTTTTAAAAAGGGTTACAAGAATAATTAGTGTATTCATATTAACCAAAATGTATTGGATAATATTTATACCCAGAAGGCAAAGTACATTACACATATTTCACCTTTGGGGAAAGCCTGCAAATGTTTTGGCAGTGGTATGAATATTTATAGGGAAGAGCGTGCTTTAGCAAGATTATATGAGAAAGCATTTATATGCTCACAAATTTTTACCCAAGGGTAAAGTATACATAAAATGTAGTGCAGAGATTATGGATATGCAAAGTGAGATTTAAGTGCGGAATTCATATCAGTTTGTTTAATTAATTGGAGCAGAATACTACTCCCGTTTTTTGGTTTGTTGTTTTTTTGGTTGTTTTTTTTTTGGTGACAGGTCGGCCACAAAATTAATCAGAGCTTTCTTTCTTTCTGCTGATCAATAACACCAAGAAAGGTGCCAGGAAAGGGTGTTCCCTCTGCAAGGCATCACCTTGTCCATGGGCTAAGCCTTTTCTGTGTTCCTGATCACGCTGTACAAGAAATCCCACCTGCTGCTGGATGCTACCTGAACAACTCACTGCGGAGCTGCCAGTCAACACTGCTCCTTTTGGGGCAAATCCTCCAGTCCTCAGCGAGGGGAAGGCTTGGAGAGACACCAAATAGGTTTGCTCACGCACAGAAGACAAGAAACCACATCCTGGTTGCAGGCTGCCCCCAGAGGGCAGGAGGATGTGACCCATTTTTGCTGCTGTGCCAGCTCCTGTGCTGTGCACAAAGTTCCTGCTGCAGAGCACTGAGACCTTCCCAGAGAGCTCTGCCCCTACAGCCCAGCCAGCGATTTTTGCCTGCTCTGCAGCTAATCAACAGCTTTGGGAATTGCCAAGGAATTAGATTCTGCCTCAGAAAACAAGCTCTCGAGTTTCTGACTGGTGTTAGCATTTGCCCACTACCGCAGCGTTTGGCTCTTGACCACTGAGGTACTCTGCAGTGAGGATGCTTGCAGCATGCACACAGGCACCTCCCCAGCTGAGCTGAGGAGCTGTGGTAGCACAAAACCTAGAGAAATGAGGAAGCTCTTGTGTCATTTGTTAGTTTGATTAAGTTAAGAAATTTCTCCCTGATTTACATTTATATCACAGATTGATCATTTTTATAGCAATTTATACATGGCCAGTCAAGAATGAGCAGGCAAAAAAAAAAAAAAAAAAAAAAAAAAAAAGATAAAAAGGTTTTAAATGATTCATTCAATTTCTTTCACGTTAATTTTCTCTTCACTGAATTATCAGCAATCATTCTCTAGTCTTCATGCCTTTCCTGTTTTTCAGAACAGTTGAATATTGGTTTACATAATCCAAAGTTTGGTAGTCCCGTGGCTCATGCAGATCCTTACCTACACATGTGGAAAATGTTCTGCCTTCTGAAGATGAACCTTCCTCTACAAAAGGTAAAATGGAAAATAAGTTACAAATACTTGTGCAAAGGGATGGTTGCTTTATTGCTGATATTGCCAGTGAGGATAGTAGCATGAACATTTACAATTTCCACAACTCCCACTCTCATTTGCTGGGTTTTGAGCTGTCTTGCAAAATCAAATAGCCCAACAACATACTTAAGGAAAAAGCACAAAAACAAGGGAAAAAACTCCACCTCTGATTTGTATTGGTTAAATTGCCTCTAAAGCTTTATCCCATAATGAGAAACTGGAAAAGCCAGTAAGCATGTCATAGCAGAGAGACAGGTAGGTGAGAAAACACGAGGGTTAAATAAATAGGAATAAAATGAAATTACTTTTTAACATTCCTGTCCAGAAGTCTAAAATAATTTTTTTGAAATTTCTGTTGGTACCTGCTGAACACCGGTTTTACTGGCTGAAGGGTATTTTGCTACATACGTGTTGTTTCAGAGTATTATAAACTGCTAGACAACAACAATGTATTTTTCATGATGGAGTGAGGGAATAGTTTGATGTTAGTGAACTGATGGCACATTTCTGATCAAGGCAAACTTTTGATGCCCTCGCTTGTTAACTTGGCCTCTGGAGGCATCAAGAGTTGCCAACAAAGTTTAGGAAAGAGGCCCAAACACCAAAACAACAGCTCCCACAATTCCCATTTCCAGGAACAGTGCAGGGACTCCCAGAAATCCTACTGTGAGAAGCCTGAAACCTGGTGAGTGAGTGATGGGAGCTGTGGAAGGAGACAGTCCAGCCAGGCTGGTTTGTAAGGGCTGGTGGGGTCTGACCAAGGACTCCTGTCTTCCCAGGGTGAAGGTGCTCACTAAGGAGGATTTCTGGAATTGTCCATCCAATTCCAGCTGTTCAGACAGTGAATATCTCTTTTAAAGTAATTTGAGAGCCTGTGGTATTCTGCTGCCATAGTGGTCTGCAGCGTTAGTGAAAGCAATTCTGCTCTCAGCTCAAGTCTAATTAAGGGTAGCTCTTGCGTAAAGTGAGTTAAATTCAGTAGTCACAGCCCAGACCCCATGGAAAATAGTCTAATTCAACTGCAGTAATACAGTGTAATATAAATATAATGGAAATACAAAACCATATAATTTAATTTGACATGACTGACAGTTTTTTGCTTAAGTCGGTGAAAATGAACAAGTACAAACACTGAACTTCCCTCTTTGATCCTTCATTGCTAGTGCAGTTGGGAGCTGGTTTCAGGATGACTTTGCACAGCAGCACCCTAAACAAGTGCACTGACAAGAGGTACATTTCACACCCTCTTCAGAACATATATGCACATTTTTAATTTTTGTTGTGTAAGATAGTTGAAGTAAATTGAATTAAGCTTAAGTATGGTCTGAACTGTGCTACATATGTGCAAAGGAAGGAAATAAATGGACAAGGAGAATCCAGGTTAGCCATGGCCTCAAGCAGTGCTTTTATCCAAACTACCTTCTTGCCCTTGCAGCCTGGCTGCCCTAACTCCAGCAGTCCTGCCACAGGAAATGTCCTGGCCCCTTCTCAGACCAGGGAGAATGGGAACCACGCTCCATGGATACTCCAAGCCTTGCTCACCCTGTGCCCACCTACCCCGTCACTGCCACCACTGCCTCCTGCAGAGACCAGCCCAGACACTGCAGAGTGAAAAACAGGGCACAGAGGAGTTGGTGTTTTTCCCCCAGAAAGATCCAAGTGCTACAAGCAAGGAAGGACCAGAGTCTGTGAAACGGTTATGGGGAATAAGGAAGAATCAAAGAGTAGTCTCAGTTGAAAGAGATCTTGAAGACCATGATGCTATAAACACCCTGGGGGGAAAAAAAACCAACAAAACTGTTGCTGACTCCATTCCAGACTGTGGCCAAAAAAACAGTCCGGGTTTTCCAATTTGCCGACTCCATTCTGGACTCTAGTTAAAATCCTGTCCAGGTTTTCCATTTTGCCGACTCCATCCCGGACTCCGGCTGGAATCCGGCCTGGGTTTTGCTTTTTGCCGACTCCAGTCCGGACCCTGGCTAAACCCGGGGGTTCTTGAGGTCATTTGAGTCCCTTCTGGGGTCACTTGAGAGCATTTGTTTTGAGCAAAACGCACAAACACCAGAGGTTTTTGTCCTAAAATAAGAGACTGATGAGTCCTTCAGCTTTATTCGAATAAAGGGAGAGAATCCACTGGGGCACATCCGCAGGGTTTTCTTCCTCTCCATTTTGGAAAGATCAGCCTCCTTTTATCCTAATTCCTGGCTGTGTATTCCCCTCTTCCTTTTCCCACTGGCTGAGGTACTAGGAAGGCACAGCCTTCCCGAACCGCCTACTACATATCGCCCCTTGAACGTACTGCTTTACCACGAAGTTTTGAAGTTGAGGCTGTACTTTCCCTAGCGTATGTCGGGTCTGCGCTCTACAACAAACCCACCGCCCAAAGACAGTAGAGACATTAAGACTCCCACTTTCACCCATCAAATTGTTTTTAAAGACATCAGCACATATATTTCATATCTAATCTAAGCCTACTCTCTTTCAGTTTGAAGCCTGGGACCTGTCACTACACGTAAAAGACCCCTCTCCATCCTTCCTGCAGGCTCCCTTCAGGCACGGAGAGATGAAGGGAGCCCCGTGTCCCCTCCGCCGCTCTCCGAGGCTCAGGGCTGTCCCTCGAGGCCGCAGCCCAGCCCATTCCCCGCCATCCCCACACGTTTCCAGGGTCGCACCCCAGCCCACTCCCTGCCATTCCCGCATGTCTCCAGGCCCGCAGCATTCCCCGCCATGCCCACACGCTCCCAGCGCCTCCCCCCGCGCTCCCCTCAGGCTCGCTGCCGGCGCCTGCGCGCGCCTGCGCCGCGCTCCGCCATGGCGGCCTGGACGTGCTGCCGGGTGGCCGCCGTGTCCTGCCTGGTGCTCTGCGTCTCCCTGCTCCTGCCGCGCACCTTCCTGCCCCGGGCCGGCGGCAGGCAGGAGCCCGGCGCCGCGCCGCCCGAGGGTAAGAGGCCGCTGCTCGCCGCCGCCCCTCCTTGTCCCCCCCCGGCCGGGACGCCGCGGCCCCGCTCGGGGTGAGCCCGGGGCGGGCGGGCTGCGGGGGCTCCGTGAGGGGCCGGGGCTGCTCGCAGGGAGCTCCGCCGCCCGGTGTGGAAACGTAGCGTAGTTCCCTCTTGGCACGTCTCTCCCCCGTGCTCATCCCTTAGCGACGCGTGGAGTGCCGGAGGAGTCATCCGTGGTTGCCGCTGTGATCTACTTGCTTCTTTTTTAAAGTAGTTTAGAAACTTCAAAATGCCGTTTTACTTATGTGCGGGGTATTAAAGCTTCCCGAAAAGTGACGTATTCATTCTATTCATTCGACTTTGTTACTTTGTGTATGGAGTGCTTTTGTTGTTGCATAAGAAATAAAAATTCATTTGAGTTGTCTTCATTGTTCAATTTCCTATGCCAGCATTTCAAACTTTTGTTCTCATGCACCACATTCTCATGATGGCTTGTTTTAGGCTCACACATCCTGTCCTTGTGGCCCCCCCAGCTGTGTCCCCCCCACTCCACATGTCCTCTCTTTAAGTTCTCAAGGAGTGGGTTCATACAAGCGTCTCCCATCCTTTTTGTGCCCATTGCCTTGTACTGTAGAGGTTATTTTTTGCCCCAGGCACTTCACAGAGAAGCTGGTGCCATAACCCCCAGCCTTGGCAGAGAGGGAGTTTTGCCCAGGGCTGCCTGCAAGCCACAGGTGAGGCTGGTGGGAGCACAGAGAACTTACAGTTCTGCAGGGTGCTGTCCCACAGGGACTCATGTTCACTGGCTGTCTTCTGCATCCTTCCAACAGCCTGGTTCTTCATGTCTGCACTTTTCAGTGACATGGATTTCATTTAGTATTCCATTTCAGAGTTTTCTGAGGATTACCAGGCTGGAGGTACTGCTAAAACAGTGTTGCCTTGAAGCCAAATACAGGATTTCCATGCCAGCAGCACTTCCGTGGTTACCGTGTGTATTTTCGGTCTTTGAGAACTTGAGAGGAGGTTGGTCAGCACTGTAGATCTGCAGCTGTGTAGCTCCATTGCAGATCTCCTCACACTGAAAATCTGTAAAGGCCCAGCAGCCAGCACAGGTGAGGACTGTGGAGTCCTCATCCCTGCAGCAGGGATGGGAGCAGATGCTCTGGGAGGTGGTACCTGGCTCCCCATTAACTTCTGCCCCTGCCCAGCTCCCGACTGATCCCACAGTGGTACCAGATGATGGAATTTGACACACCGTTTTCCCACAGCAGTACAGTCTTAAGCAGTTCTCATTTAATGCTGTGGTGCACCTTCCTTTGGCTGCAGGTTGATCTGACAGAAAATAGCTTTAAAAATCCCAACAACAAACTTGTTCTCCAGTTATTTTCAGTGCCCCCCAATTATTTTCAGTGCCATCTGTTGAATGAATGATGTTTGTACCTGTTCTAGCACAGCTGGCTCTGGGCAGTGCTGTGATAGGGCGGCTTAATCACCTGCAGCTGCAGCTAAATGCTTAAAATAGGTAACATAAACACTCTCTGCATCCTCAATGTTGTAAATACTTGCCATCATTCCTGCAGAGATCACGGGACAGCACAGGTTTGTGTGTGCCTGATGCAGCACAGGCACCCAGCGTTGCTCTCCTGTTGCAGCCCAGCACCTGCCTTTGGCTCAGGGTGTAATCACTCACCTCAGCTGGTTGGTTTCAGATGAGAGGTTGTAGCCTGTGTTTTCAACTTGATAGCAAGGATTTCATTACACCTGCTCTGTGGACCAAATTGTATTTCACCTGAAGTTATTTTTTTATTGGAAGAATAAATCTTGATTGAACCACTTAATTCATATCTCTGTCATTAGTTGTCCTTCTCAGTGCACTGATAACTGCAGTTACCTGGCAGGAGTTTCAGGGGCCTGAGGTAATCATGTCATTCTTGAAGTTAATAAAGTGCTTATGGTAGTCTTGGGGGCAAAATGTCTCTGAATAAAACATGCTTAAAATTTAGTACCGTTTGTTAGAACTCAATGTTACCAGAAGGCTTTTTATCAAAACAGGCTTTAGGCAGGGGAATGGAACTTTCTCTAATAAAGTCATTTTCAGAGGTCTCTTTTAGGAAAATGGTGTGCATTGAACTACAGAAGTTAGTATTATCTTCTTTTTCACAGTAATAATTTCATGTATATGACAAACCTTACTTGAAGAACTTACTGCGTTTGTATCACATTCCTAGCTGACTTCACAGGCAGGCATTAGAATGTTTATCTTTTCTTAAAGAGGAGCAAAAGGGGGATCCACTAGCAGTTTTAAAAGTACTTGTAAAGGCTAGTGCTCATAAATATATGCCATGCATTTTGTAAAGCCACTTTCTAAGCTGGTAGTTTCAGATAAACCTTACAACTCCACCACAGCAGCAGACAGCAGCTTTACAAAAATATATATATGACAGTTCAGGTAACCTCCTTGCTCAACTTGAATTTGTGCAATGTACACATCAGTTGCCTGCTGGTGTCCTGAAGAAAATTATGTGGCAGAGACACATATTTACCTAGACTAAGAGTTGCTGAATAGTACAGTAATATAAGTCTAAATATCTTTATAAATAGTTGAGTTGGGCTCATTAGCAATTCCTAAAACCCATTAAGTAGAACACATAACAGCTTTTGTGGAAAAAAGATGCTTGAGTGATCAGAGTATCATCATCTGGTTGGTTGTTGTATTCATTGTGTTGTAAATACAGTTTTTAAGATTTTCTTCTTTTCAGTTGATTGTTAATGTTGTTACAAGATTAAAAACCCCACAGTCATTCTCATGTGAAAATGCCATTGAGGACTTCATCTACATTCAGAAACTACAGCCTTTTAAACAACACAAATGTTCACTGGGGCATAATTTCATTTTTGGACTTCAAGCTCTTGAAGGGACTGGGTTAAACACAACATGCTCTGCTTGCCCTGTAGCTGGTTTGCAAAGTTGATTTGAAGCATTAAAACTGACAACATTATTAAATGTGTAGGATAAATCCGGGGTAAAAAGACTGCAAAGCCAGGTAGGGTGTGCTTGGTGGGAGTTAACCACACACAGCAATCAGTCTGCAGCAAGGCAGCCCTCGGGCTGTCACAGGGGAGCTGAGAAATATTTCAAAAGCAGAGCAGCACTTTTGGTGGGAGTTACCACACACAGCAATGTCTGCAGCAAGGCAGCCCTCGGGCTGTCACAGGGGAGCTGAGAAATATTTCAAAAGCAGAGCAGCACTTTGGCACCCTTCAAAGCTAACCAGAGTTAGTGCTCTTTCCACGGCATTCCCACAGCAGAAAAATGTCACCATCCCCACTGGCAGCTGGGTAGGGTAGCAAACAAGGACCCAAGACATGCCCTTCTGTGCTCATCAAGTGTCACCTGATTTTCTTGATATTATGTTATTGTTCCTGTATGCTGTTGTCTGCGTTTGAAAGTGGTTTGTTTCATCCTTGGAAGTGTGGAATCTTGTTCAGGTCACAGTGGCACCCCAAATTGTTACGTTTTTCATTTATATACTGTGCATTTAAGAGCCTTGTGCATATGTTGCTTTCAAGTTGCTTGTGCCCTCAATTTTCTGCGTAATTCACATGGGTTCTTCACAGTAAAAAACTATGGAAGATAGTATTTGTTTATTAAGGAAATAATTATAGAAGTGTAAAATCAATAGGGTAGGTTTAGAAATAGGAGTCATGAAATTCCCCTTTAAAATTATCTTGGTGATTAAATTTCTAGTGTCTGTCCTCTTGGCCTGGTAGATTTAATTCAATTGAATCTTTTAAAGCACAAATGAGGCCTTGTGGATAATTTAGAAAACTATTCGCTTTAAATACAGTTTCACCTTTGTCAATTATTTTCTGCTTTCTTGATATCTCTCTTTTTTAAAAATAAATAATATTTGCATAAATATAAGATGTTTTATGAGTGTTTACCTACCCTGCTGCTTCATCCCCACCTTAGTGATGCTGTGCTCTGCACGACATCACACTCGTTTCCACAGTGACCTACTGCTGCAGGGCATTGTTGCTGGAGCAGGGGGACTTTCTTGTAAATAAGATGCTATGCTTTCCATCACAGACTTTGAATAATTCACTAAAATTTAAGTGCATGATAACAGCTTCCTCGAAATTAAGCTAATCTGAGAGTGGCTTTGGTCAGTGGTAGTGTGCCCTGGCAGTTACACCAAAGAACTCATGGAACATGTGCTGTCATCTACAATAAAAATGTGTTTTTAATAGTGGAACTTCATGAATTATTGATACCACTTCCTAGTAAGTGTTTACTGCAATTTTCTGTGCTCAGGAATTTAGCTGCCTGTGATGGTGTTTCCTAGCAAGACCAAATGTTAATTAAATTTTTCTCTTGTGTCTCATAAAAGCACTTGCAGCTGCATACTCGCAGAAGTAAACTCAGTTATTAGCAGCACCACTTCAAACCTGCTTTTCATTTTCATTTTCTTTCTGCAAGCACAGGCAGCCTGTCCCAGCACCAGGCAGCAGCAGTGTCCACGTGTGCCAGGGAGGGGGAGTTTTCCAGCCGGGATCAGGGAGTGAGCTGCAGCCCAGCCTGGCAATCCCATCTCTGGTGCTTCCATCCAGCGCCTCCCACCACCAGATTCCCTGGCAGGGTAGCTGAGTAACTCAGCTCAACGCCAGTCAGTGGAAAGAAGTGCAGGTTCACATCCAAACTGGATATGGAGATGGAAAGTAGGATATCAACTACAGAGGAGTAAAATAGTGAATTTCATAGAAAAACTGTTGAATTGATGGCAGCAAGAAAATAGAATAATGCATGAGCTTAAATTTATTGAGGTTCTTGCACCCTTCAGTTGTGTGAAATCATTTGCAGCACCATTTCAGGCTCTCTGCAGTCTTACCTCTAGCATCTGTACATCCATTTATGCTTGCTCTCCTTTCTCGTGTTAAATTAGCTCTGCCTAGAAAGGTTAGAAACCTCTACATTTTTTTCCCTCTAAAATGCCAAAGATAATATGTCCCAGGCTATATTCAATCTCCTTTTTCACACTGCTTTACCTTAGATCTTTGTAAGGAGAACAGCTTGAGGTAAAACCAATTTTCTTAATCTTTCATTACTCGCTTGGTAAAATCAGGTAAAATACTATTTCTTATGGCAATAACCAGAAATCTATTCTGGGCAAACACTGCAGTCGTGTGTCAGGGAGTTAGGTGGATAATGGTTTGGACATTAATACATTTATACATTAAATGCCTTTGGGCAGTACTGAAAGATCAGGCTCACAGTGGAAAACTGATACGTTGTTGGGGGATCTTGAGGAGAGAAAGAAGTAGGAATCTGTCATTTTATCCTGCTGGAGATGGTGATCTGTTGTGTATTCAGACAAGAATATACCTATTAAAATCCCTGGTCTTTTTAATTGCCCTGCCAGCTCTTTCTCTGCTAAAAATCAGGATATTTTAATTCTGTGATTCTGCTCCTAATTGTGTAGGAGTAAAATTGCTAGGAGTAAATGGCTTTAAGTAAAACCTAACTCCCAGCACTGCCCATCACAAGAGACTGAGGACTGAGTTTACAGACTTGGTCCAACAAGTTTTTTATTCATCAGTGGTGATGAATTTACAAGCAGAGAAAATAGGTCACTTGCACCTGCTGCAGGTTGATGCTGCGTGTAAAAGGGTGGAAAGCAATAGAAATGATCTTTGTGTGGTTTTTTGCAGGGAAGCTCAGTCGCTTTCCACCGAGGATGCATTCCCACGCCACTCCCGATGGCAGAGCTGTCCCTCATTTTCCAAGGTCTCACCTTACTGAAGCAGTTGCCAAGGCCAAGGCAGGTGGAGGTGGCAGTGGAAGCACTGGTGGAAGTGGAAGAGGTCTTGTGGGACAGATTATCCCTATATATGGATTTGGCATCTTCTTATATATTCTGTACATTTTATTTAAGGTAAGATCAATATAAATTGAAAAGTCAGGGAAATAAAAAGCTTGGGAAAAAAAAAATCATACTCTCATTTCAGTACCTTGTTCCATTTCAGCTGTGCTCAAAAAAATGCTTATGCTGGACCTTTGCCTGGTGGTCAAAAGATTGGAGTATCCTGTGGGTTTTGCTATTGCAAGACTGTAGCTAAGAATGCAGGGAAGGGTTTCTCTGATCCTGCATTGGCCTCTGACCTCTTAAAATTTCTTAAGGATTTTTTTTTCCTCCTGGAAAATGTGCAGAGTAATATTAGATTAATTTTGAATATACATGTAGTATTATTTTCCCTGTTGTATATGGCTACACTTATATGTACTCTGTATGTCACATTTGTTCCAAGAGTCTGACAGGAATTTTCAGCTGGCAAAATCTTCCAGGCATATTTCATGGTTTTTCTGGTGGGTGTGCTTTTCTGTGGCTGCCTTCTGGCCTATTTCAGTTTTCTGTAATTTTTTTCCATTGCTTTGGGGCTTATCTATTACTATTGCATAGAAGGGCCTTGTTCTTGTCCTCATCAGCTGGCTTCCAAAGGAAGAACTACTCCTGCGGAGAGGAAATGCCCCCCTGCTACACCTGGGAACATGAAGAGGAAAATCAGTGAGTATGGCTCTGAGTTGTGTCTGTGAAGCTGTAATGGTCCAACAGCGTTCTTTGAGTTCTGGGTGCACTGTAAAGCTGATGTTCCCTCCCACCCAAAAAAAAAAACAAACCAAAAGAAACAACAACAACCCAAAAAACAAACCCAAAACCAAGCCAGGATCTTCTGTGTTGGAATGAGCAAGAGTTCAAAAGAATTACTGCGCTGTCACTTTCTAATCTCATCCAGCCCATGAGGCTGTGATAGTAGCCTGATCCCAAGCCCCTGTGGAAGAAATGGCTTTTCATGAGGTTTGCTGAATTAACTGCACGGATTTGCTGAAAAACTGTGTCACTAATGATTAAAAATGGATAATAGGATGTCCAGCTATAATTGTTGTATAATCCAACAGTCTTGTAAGAGCATAGAAAGATACCATGAAAGCTAGTTTAATTTTTTTGATATGGTGAATTCTCAGCCATCATCAGGAACTTCCCTAATTTGTCCTTTTTTTTTGCAGAGATTTAATGCATGCAATAAAGAGAGCAAATCGTATTCTGAAATGTTAATTTGATTTTACCTAAACATTGGTGAGATAGATTCAAGTGTTTGTAGGCACTTATTAGATAAATTAATAAGTTTATTAGTGAGGATTGGAAGAGTAGTTCCCATTACATCATTTAAATGTGTTGTGTTTAGCTGGCTAAACTGTAATAGAAAAGAAAAGTACTTAGGGCTTTATAGAAAGTGCTAGCAGGAAGGTAATTCTCTTAACATAGCTGTAATTTTCTTGACATTAATGCACATACTAGGAATGCCTAATGTGCTCAGTGCTGTAGACTGTGTCTCCAGTGCACTCGTGCTGTGTTGTGCCTGGCAATTTTGGGCAATATATTAGCAATGGTAATTACATATTTTTCTCTGATGCTTGGTGAGAGAAAGTAACTTTGTAGTAAGTTAACTTTGCCATCATTATATCCCAAAGAACTAACCGTGAAAATTATTCTGCCTTTTTTTCTACAGCTCTTCATTTATATTCCTAAAGCATTCATGGCAAGCTGTAGCAGAGCAGGGGACAGGTCACTGGATTAGGAGCCTGAAGACTGAGTCACCACTTACATAGTGACTTGGAGGAAGTGACTTCCTTTCTCTTTGCCAATTCCCCTTCCTCTTCTTTTAAAGTCTCAGACATGCAAAATAATTACATCAGTGTTTGCCTTAAGTCATGGCAATCTGTGCAGGATAGAGTTCTTTGTAAAAGCAGAAGGTTAGCTGATGGATTTCTCCATTCCTACTATGTTGAAGTTCCACTGTGCTTTTATGCTGCTCCAATGGGTGTAAATATTGGTAATGTTCTTCACCTTCTTAGGCCAGGAAGTGTGGGTAGAACTCTCTAAGCTGAATTTTTTCATTTCCTCACAGGCAGTTTGGTTTGGTACAGGAATACATTTTCAAGGCTCCTACTGACAGACCTTGGGATTTTTTTTTGTTTTGTTTTACAGCTGACTATGAGCTCACTCAACTCCAGGAAAGACTGAGAGAGACAGAAGAAGCAATGGAAAAATTAATCAACAGAGTAGGACCTACATATGACAGGTGTGTTTCAAAACAGAATATTTCAAGGAGAGGTTCCACTTTGATTGGAAATTCAACTTTCTTCCATTATCTATATTAAAATAGCATTTTTAATGCTACTGCAAATTATAGAAGTTTGGTTTTACACATCCCAATTCTTGTTCTGAAGTTTTTCTCTTTTCAGTATCTATATATAAAATAAATATTTTTTCCAACTTCATTTCCTTAACTAGAAAAGAAGTTATCCCTATTTCCCCCCTTTGTAAAGTGTATTATTTGGAAGAAAATGACAGGTAAAAAGAAGATAAATCATCTGCATTTAAAGTACATAAAACAGCCTGTTTATGTGACCAAAATAATATCCTGAAATATTATTTTCCAGTTCTATGGATTATTTTCCTAAATTGAACTGCTGTTATAATCTATGTAAATTCCTGTTAAAATAACCATAACATTTTTCTTTAAGGCAGAATTGTATAATAATCTGATTACATAACTTAGTTCCACTTTAAATTCATGCATTTGCTTCTAAATACAAAAGACAAAGGGTTGTAAAATCAGCATTCAGAATTTTATTATGTTTATTAATGTTTCCTACAAATCTGTTGTCACCAGTCTGTATTACAAAGAAACGCTGGAAACAAGTCTATGTTTTTCATAAGAAGAACAGATCAATAGTACACTGCTTAATTGCAGTGAGAAAAAAAACCCTGAAAATAAAAACTGAAATACCATAAATATGAAGGTGAGGTTTGCAAAAAATGAGAGCTGTTCTGGCTGTAAATCATGTTAACTTTGTCTGGATCATCCAAGGCCTGTTTTCACCGATCCTGTAGGAATCCTGTGCTGAACATGCACATTTTGTTAATGTATGGCTCAAACCACTTCTCCTTGAGTGCAGCTTTGCCCTCTTTGGGCTGTGCCCTGTACAGTCTCGGGCAGACAAAGTGCCCAACCTGCCCATGTTCAGCAGGTCCCAGTGGGAGAGCCCCTGAACTGCCCTGGTTTTGTTAGCGCAGAAGGATCCTGCTTTGACTGCCACTCATCTCTGTGCTGCAGAGCTGACACAATGCTCTACACGTTCCTCTAAGCTGACAGGAATAGGCTTAGGAACTGCCCAGATATTGTGCTGATTCTCAGGATGGGATTTTTTTTTTTTTTTTAACTGGGAAAATCGGTTTAGGGTCTGATCCAGTATTTGTTCTACTCTGTGTTATTGGCCCAAAGCCTCTATTTAGTAGAACTTCCCTTCTTTGTTCAACCAGACTATTTATATAGATGGGTCTAAAGGTCTCAGGGGAAATGAGAATCTGAATCTAATGAAGAATTTTGTATGTTGCCTCTTTGAAGAGGAGGGGAAAGGCACCTCTTGATGGCACAAATAGCTGTTTTCAAACACTTTGAAGCTTGCTTAATCTACTCATTAATTTCACTAATACTGGATAAATCTATTAAAATAAAACCTATGGTTAGAAAGTGTAGTTAGAGTACTGAGCAAGTCTTTTCAGTCTGGATATTGATAGATTTAAATAAAAAGGAAAGAATAAGAGAGTAAAAATGACTTGAGCTTTATTTATTGATCTGCAATTAAACCCTTACACAGAAAGGTCAGAGACAGAAATAACTGGTATCAAGTTTCAGCTAATGCTGAAAGACCCCAGGTGAGACCATGGCCCTTTACACCAGGTGTGGCAAAGCAACAGCCAGCCTCTGTTGTAGAAAGCAGCAACCAGAAACTTGGATTTGCTTATTTTTTTCATTAGTTGAAGACGAACTTCCAAACCAACTGAGGGGACTTCCTTCCAAACCAGCATATCAGTTGGAATTGCTACACTGTTAAGTAGAGAAACAACCTTCCAGAAAAACAAAATTATCCAAAAGTACAAGTACAGGTACTTTTAATAAGGCCTAGCATGTTGTAGGAAAAATGAGAAGCAAGATAAAGAAAGCAAGAGGAAGAAAGAACTGCCTGGCCATGTCCTCAACAATGTAACCAGAAATTTCTATTTCTGGTAGTTAGGTAAGAGAAATAATGCAGATCACCTACCTGTTTTTAAAGTCTTGTTTACCAGGCTGTCTACTGGAAAAACTTCCTTTTTTATCATAAACTGAGCAAAGGTGATATGGAAGAGTAAGAGGCTCTGTGGGGTGCCATTTTTTGGGATGTAGCTGCATTTTGATAGTGATTACTTTAAGATCACAAAGCTAAAAAATAGCAGTTAAAATGTCTGAGATGCCATTTTAGATTATTTACATTATTTTCCCTGCAATCATTATGGCTCTTTAGGAAATGTTTTAATCTCACAGTAAGAATAAGAAGCCTTTACTTTGCCTGTTAGTGAGCTCTTTGGGACTGTACAAAGTGTAAATATTGCCATTATGAAAAATAATACTTATGTTGGAGCTACAAACGCAGACAGCAAAAATAATGACCTTTTCTTGCACTGTAAAGCTTCTGCATCTGTTATCCTCTGAGTGTTCCTAAGTGCATTATATCCTGGTAAATCTCCCATGTGCAGGCAGCCAGATGTCTTACACACTGCCAGCAACCTACAGTAAGTCTTCCCAGAGGCCTTAAATGAAGTCAAAATAACACATGGGCTTTAGTTTCTCCCTCTCTGCAGGGAAATCTGCCTTTTAAGCAAGATATTTGGAGAAGGAATGCTCTGACATACAGAGCCCTTGTGCTGCAGTAAGACAGGAGTGTTTTCTAATGAGGGTATCCCACATAGTGGGAATTTTCCTGTATGAAATGCCACAGTGATGCAGCTGCATTGACTGATCCTTTTATCTGAGCCAGCTTATCTGCCCAATGTGCTAAAGAGATAGGTCTCTCTGTCTTCAGCCAAGTGATATATATTCAAATTGTTTTGTCTCTTAAAGGAGGATTAGTTCAGCAATTCTGTCACAGCTTTGGTCAAAGGCTGATGAAACCATTCCATTTTGTGAGCCTCTTAATTCACATCTCAGACTCCACATCTGCATAAGCCAGGCTTTTGGGAAGGTGCTGCCTCACACATTCAGTTCTTTGTGGAACAGATTGCCACCACAGCCTGGGGGAAATCAGTGTAACCTACGTAGAGTGTTGGGATATCAACTTTTCAAACTGTGGGGCAAAGTGCTCCCTGGTAGAAAAGCAGAAAAGTGATCTCAGGGAAGCAGTTTAACCTAGGTAGGTGCTAATCAAACCAGCTCCTGAGCTAGGTTCAGTTACAGACAGCTGTGCCTGCAAAATCCAGCTGTGCACAAAATCCAGCCCGGGATCAGCACTTCCACCACCATCACACCAACCAGCAGTAGGATGCTAATCTTACTTTAAACCAGTGTGCCTTTCCTGCCCTTAGTGGAGTAGCCATCATGTCACCATCTTCCCATTTAGGCAGAGTGCCACAAAGTACCTCTTGGAGTGCTGCTCCAGTCCCAGCAGCTGGTAAGGGGAAAACCTGAGCTGCCCTTAGTGGAGTAGCTATCGTGTCACCATCATTCCCATTTAGGCAGAGTGCCACAAAGTACCTCTTGGAGTGCTGCTCCAGTCCCAGCAGCTGGTAAGGGGAAAACCTGAAGAAGGACATTGCAAGGTTATTAGAATTCTGATAATTAAAATGAGGCTTACATGACCTAAAGCCAAAATCTGCCTCCAGCTCCTCTCTTCCCATCTCTTTCCTACACTTCACTGAGCAGCCTACTCAGTGAATGGAGATGAAATCTCACTCTTGGAGATTATGTGTCTGTCTGCTCTCCAGACCAGGGATCACCAGAGACCATCTCTCTGACCTCACATGCCACCTACTGTTCAGCATTCTGTGCATGCCAAGGGCCACCCTTTCAAGTCATTTTCAAGGGGGTAACAGCTTCTGACTCATACACAGATCCAAAAGAGCTCCAGAGGAGTGGCTTGAACTGGCATTACTGCTCAAGGATTACTTAAACCTCAAGTTACCATAATTTTAAACTCAAGATGAAATAAGCACCAATGGTCAGAACCAATTTCACCCCTGGTGGCAGCCAGTATCTTTCCTATTCTGGCCTACTAAATTAGCATACTGCAGAGCACCCCCCTCCAAATCCTACCTTTTTGTCCATAAGATTTTAGAAGCTTTGTTTCTTTGCAGAGAAAATCACATGTAATGACTACATGATCTTATCTGTTGCAAGTACTTTTGTTACAGCAGTAGTTGTATTACCTAAGCAGTAATTAATTACTAGATCCAGCAGTGTAGAACAAGTCAAAAGTTTGCTTTCCATCTGATAAAAATCTCGGTCCTCTCCCTGTAATTCTAAAGGGCAAGTGACAGTTAAATGTAACACCTTCTTTCCATTCTTAAATCTTCCTTCCTGTTTCTGCCCCCCACCTCCCCACCAGGCTGCATTGTTGACTGTCTATAATGAAAGGATGATCTGTCCAATTTGCACATTTAATGGTCATGATGAGAGATTTTAGACTCTTGAGACTAATGACTGTGAGAAATTTTGGTCAGCCTCACAAGCTACACATGTGGCACAGATTCAGAATTTCCTTCCTTATAATACTTCATATAAGGCACTGCACCCTAATTCTTACCTAACACACTTTTAAAGGCAAGAGATTTCTGTCTTTTGTACCATAACTCTTGTTTGTGTGTCACTTTCATCTTTCTCTCACATCGGCTTTACCTGCCTTCCTTTACCTGTTTAAATTGCAGGCTTTTTGGGTAAAGGGATAAACTATACCCAGCTGAAGTGCAGAGCACATGCAGATGTTGAGGAAGGATCACACTCCTCAGCAGGTTTCTCCAGACTGTGCTGCTGGCATGGATCAAACAGTTGGGTTTAACCTCTTCTCATAGTTTGCAATAACAGTGGACTAAATTCTGATGTCTAATATTTTCTAGCAGGACTCAAAATGTTACAACAGACCAGGAAAAAATGTTACTTCAACAACTCAGAGAAATTACCAGAGTTATGAAAGAAGGAAAATTCATAGATGACATCTCTCCTGAGAAGGAAGCTGAGGAAGCTCCATACATGGCAGATTGGGAAGGTAAGAGCCTTTCTTACCATTACCCTTACTAGAAAAATTGGATAAACACTACTTACAGTTCCAGATCCTTTCCAAGTTTTGCTTAACTTTATCCTTCCTTTTCCAGAAGCCAGTTTTCAAAACTTTGCAAGAGGTTGCTTGGCTTTTTTGTCCCCAACCAGAACAGAAAAAAATAGATTTTGCTGTATCCAACATTTCTTTTAGTGTAAACACTGCACTATCTGCTGCCCAAAGTGGCATATGAATATTCATATATGCTCCAAATGCATTGACTGCTCTGGGTTTGTATCTTTCCCTTTCTGTGCTGGCCTGGATTTCTTGACAATCATAAAAACCTTGGAAATCAGATCTATTTGTTTTAGATAACTTACTTTTTTTTTTCTTTTCATTAGTTGCTCTTTGTTAGCTCCAATGTTGTAAAAGTCAACTCCAGGAAGTCTTTTAAAAACTATTTATTTTAATGTCCTTTGTATTCCTTGGTGTTTACCTGCTACATAAATGTGTTTTCAAGATATCTTAGTTGAGCTGCTCTGTATCATAATTTTAAATGCAGGCTTAATTTTTTGCTTTTTACAAAGCTTTCAAAAATGATCCAAAACATAAAGCATAAATAATGGCCTTGAGCTCTGTTCATAAAGTCAAGTTTATTATGTTATTTCTAAAATGAAATGCACAAAGTCATTGATATATCTGTTTTTTCAACTTCATCAGAACTTTATCAGTAATGCTGTTCATAGCAAGTGTTCAAACCATGCATCAGTCAATTTGTAGGCAGAAAAAAAAAAAGGATTCATTCAAAGATCTAAGACACATCATTTTTACCTGTTAGCCCTCATAGCTTCCACCAAAGCTGAGGTTTCAGTCCTGAAATTCAGGGTTGATATCCTGGCTCCCTAAAGTAAGTGAATTTTTTTTCATCATCTCCCAACAAGACATGCTTTGCACATTCCTGCCATGGATTTCATACTGAGATGTGTACATGGCATTAAAGAGCTGACACTTGCATTGGCAGTAGGAAAAACAACTGTCCTGGCCAGCTTTTTATCCACCACTGAGGTCAGGATTCCTTTTAAATGCTGGTAATGCTCCAAGCTGCATATCCCTTTATTCCTAAGGTTATCCAGAAGAGACCTATCCTGTCTACGATAATTCCGATTGCTTCAAGCGCAAGCAGGACACAATCCTTGTGGATTACCCTGACCTGAGCCAGCCCTCTCCAGAAGAGCTGGCAGAAAGAATGGAGGGCATGGAAGATGAGGAGTATCCTTACAATGAAACCCTGCTGAGTGATCTCACCATGGGAACGGGTGGTCAGGATTTAATGCAGAAAAAGGATGATGTAACTCTCGTCAAGGAGGAGAAGACTGACCTTCCTCCCAGCCAGAGCACTGGGGAGTGCTGCTGTTGCTGTGATGATGATCCTGCTGTCATAGCAGAGAATGCTGGATTCCACTCTGAGAGCTGCAGTGAAGCAGAAGATGCAAGCCAAGAGGACCTGTCCGTGGAGTCAGAAAATGAAAATGCTGCACTGGACCAGCAAAAGAGCAGTGATTCAGAGCAGACAGGCACACTGAGAAAGCGCAACACCAAAGTACTTGATTGATGGGGACAACCATCTGGATGGTAAAGGCAGAGGTCATAAACTGTCATCCACGTGGGTTCTGTTCCCACTGAGGACTTCTCTGTGTTCATCTCCTTGTACCTATTGCATTCTCGTGGTACCAGTCACATCATCTGCCTGAACTGGAAACCAATGCCCTCTTTCATGCACTCATCATGGGTTACCATGATGCTGCCAACAGTGCTTTGTCCTTGATTTTTGAAGCCTTGTATTTTGGAGCAGATACTTGTGACTTGCTCCTTTTCAATTCTAAAGGAGCTGTGCTTGGTTTTGCCCCTTGTCATCCCAGAGTTAACCAAATGTCTCTTCTGACTTTTTCAAAAACATCTGTGTGCTACCAGTTAGGAGAGTTAATCAAATCCTTCTATATACATGAGTTTACTGGGGTGCTGAAGGACAAAATATGCCTTCTTTCTCTTAGCTCAGTGTTAGCTGTTCAGCAGAGCAGATCACAGTCACACATATGACCCTCTCAACTCTGTCACTGCTCTCTAGTTTTGAGAAACTGCTGTCACCACAATCCACAAAGCTCCTCTGCTACCCCACCGCCCTTTTCCCAGTCATTCCGTGTTGTTGGAACAGTAGCCTAATCCATGTTGTGTTACTTGTGTGAGCAAGACTGAAGCTCTGTGAGTTGTGCTTTAACTTTGCTTTAGCTGTGGTGAAATTCCCAGATGACTGCAGGAAGTGGACCACAATGTGTGAGAGCACTAAAAGTATCCCTAGAGATTAAAACCAAAAAAAGCAGTGTAAAGGTTTGTCTGTAAAGGAGAGAACAGCATGAGGGGGACCCTCAGACTGAAGGTAGCAGGTAGGCTTTTCCTTCTTTCTGGAAACCTGTGGGTTTTCTATGCTTTTGGAATGCTGTTGCCAGGGTCATGTTGAGGCTGCTCCAAGTATGGAGTGGAGGAGGATGAGGAGGGTACTGGAGCCAAGGGCTCCTGAGGAGAGGTGCCAGGCTGTTCCTATGCCCAAGGGACAGCTTTTCCTGTACAAGCAGCATGGCAGGTGGGGTGGGCTCCAGGAAAGATTCCCTCGTGACCCTCCTGCTTCTCCCATACCTGGGCACTTTTCAGGCCCACCATAACTCAACTATTGTATTGGGCCACACTCATGGCGCAGTCACAGGGGCTGTTTGTGATGTCACCAGTCCCCTGCGTGCTCTGGCACTAGAGAAGCAGGGCCCTCTGCAGCTCTGAGGCCCTTGGTGAACCTCTGGAAGAAAGAAAAGGCAGAGCAGCGAGGCGGGTGGCAGAGCACCTCTGCAAGGGACGGCAGCAGGGCCCTTCCCATGATGACGGAAGAGGAGGGCATGTGCGAGGAGGAGGCCGTGGAAGAGGAGGAAGAGGAGGAACAAAATCACCCCTCTGCCATGAGTGCCGCCGCCCTCAGTTCCCTGGTCATGGCCATGCAGAGCTTGGCCCTGTGCCCACCAGGGAACGGTGTGCAGCCCAGGGACATGGACCCGCCAGGGAACCAGCGGAGCACCGGGCTGGGCGGCCGCCCGCCTTTGCGTGGGACAGCACAGAGACGCGCCCGGCAGCGGCCAAAGGGGGAGTCCCTTTCCCTGGGCCTGAAAAACGGCAACAGGCGCCAGTGCAGGAGGAGGAGGGGAAGGAAGAGAAGGAGGAGCATCAGCCCTTGCACCATGAGAGCCATTGCCAACATGCGAGGGACGGCATGCAGCGCCTGCCTCCAGGAATTCTGGCGGCTCAAAATCCGCACCTGCCTGACTGAAAAATAAGCAACAAGAAAAGGATGAAAATCCTGTCCTTCCTCCTTATTTGGTACTTTGGCGACAGCACCTGTGCTCCCATGACCCTTTAAGTAGGAGGTGTTTTTTAGAAACTTTAGAAACTTTGCAGTTCCATGCCCACATCCTGCTTTGCTGGTGCCACCTTACTTCTTGTGATTCTTAGGCTATGACATCAACAATTTGAGACTAGCTTTTTTAAACAGAGTAAAGTTATCATAATGAAAGCATGGAGCCCTAGGAATTTCTTCTTTGCAGATGTGCTAGGGAATATTACAGAGTCCCAGCCTCTACATGGGGCCTGTCCTACTAGCTCACCTATTCCATGTCCTCAACATAATTTGTTGATTGCATCAATAATCATTTGTTGATTGCTATGCATTATGTGAGCCCTTCCTTCTCATCCCCTACCCTGGATCCCCTATTCCTGGAGCTCCTCAGGGAAAGACATTAATTAACTTGGCTTTCACCAGGCTACTGTGCTGAGGTGACAGGAGTTATCCCCAAGAGGGACACTGAGGTTCTGCAGGTGGGGTTGCTACAGTCTGAGGTCAACTACAATCCCTGATGGATGAGTGAAGTCAGCCTTGCATAAAGAATATTAGCAGACCAAACCAAGAACATAGACAGCTGTTTCTTTGGAGAAGCAACAGATGGCAGTTCGGCCAGGAAGAAGTACTGGCATTCACATGGAGGTCCCTTCTAGCTGCCTCATAGGAAGTTCTTTTCAATGTTGGGAAATAAATTTAAAAAAAACCAAACCAATAAACCAAAAAAAAAAAAAACCAGCAAAATTTCTTTATTCTTCTCTTTTTTGGGATTTGGTGAGTGCCTATGGATTCCTCTGTCCGCTCTTGGTCTCCACAGCCCTGGAAAGGTAGTGATGTGTGGGGTACAGGCCCAGCCCAGGCCTTGGAGATGGTGAGGAGCTGGGGCCCATGGCACACAAGGGCAGGCTGAGGGAGCTGCCTCACGAGGCTGGGGCAGTGGTGGAGCAGGTGCCCACTGAAAGTGTGGATGCCCCATCCTTGTCAACATTCAAGGTCATGTTGGCTGGGGTTTGGCCAATCTGGTCTAGTGTCAGCCTCACCCCAATGTCCAGTCAAGCCCTTACCTCATTCCCCAGTATTTCCAGGGAAATGGTAGGAGACGTGCTGCAGCCCTGCTGTGGATACAGGCACAGCCCATGTGAGCCTGATACCCTTTCCCTGGATTGTCACAGACTGGCGAGTGCTCCCTGTGTGTCACCGGAACTGTGACACTCTGAGGCAGACAGGAACATCCCAGGTAGGCATCCCACTGCATCTACAGATCCACCACGGGCCTCTGGGACACTCTGCTTTAATGAAATAAATTGGATTCCCCTGGTGTGCACCAGCTCCAAGCTGGGTGCCAGTCAAGGCGGGGTGCCAGCCTGGAGCTACCCCCACAGCCCTGCTCACATCGGTGCTGGGATGGGACGTGGGGGAGTGCCCATGGCAATGCCACCCATGGGAAGGGCCCGTGCCCCATCCAGAGTCACCACCCAGCCCTGCTTCATGCCAAGCCCAGCAGCCCAGCCCCCAGGGTGTCTGTATCCCTGAATTGTGGGTCTGGCCCACCAGCTGCAGCCGTTCCAAACATACCAGTAATCCACGTCATCGGGGAATCCAGCAGGTAGACATCACCACGGGAAAGTGGCTTTGTGTTGATCAGGAGCTCCTCGTGATGGCCATCATTCTCCAGATGGGAATTGCCTAATCCTCTTGGCACAGCCTTATTGTGTGCCACTAGAATAATTATGCTGCACCAGACATTTTCTCCCAGGTTTGCAAAAAGGTTTATTTCCCATTGTTTCAAGCACTAAGAAGGATGTGAACCCCACTTTTACACGGGAAAAAAAGACGAGCTGAACTCCCCTTTTACTGTGCCTTGCAAGGGCTCTAATCCCTTACACCTTGGGAGTTGTTAGGGCTACTTTTAACACCTGTGACAGAGCTAAAGGCTTCCTGTTTCTCTGCAGCAATTGCCAGAGAGCCTCAAGAGCCCATCCCTGAGGTGTCAATGGCCTTGGCATCCCCTCCCCAGGGACCACTAAGTGCTCTCTGAGCGTAGCCAGACTTGCCTCCTGTGGCCGCTCACCAGCAGCCTTCAAACTGGGATTCCTCCTGTTTGAGTAATATTTCCTTTTCACCCTTCGCCTCAGCTCTCCCCCCTCTGAAACAGAAATGTCTGTTTAGAGGGGCATTTGAGAAAAGGACCATCAAATGTGTGTCTCCAGCTTTCTCAACTATTAACTGCTCATTTCTACTAGAGAACACTCACAATTTGAAGAAGAGCTTAGCTGAACAAAATCGGGATTCTCAGAGAACTTTGATGAAGTAAGTAAATCAAAATCATAGGTCAGAACATCAGCAAAGCTGGGAATTTGAGAAAAAGTCACAGAAGCTCAGGTGGATGCCCACTGGAAGCAGTCAGGCTCTTTAAAAGCACACGTTCCTTTACTTGTGATGTTTCCCACCTGGCAAATGAAATGGCTGTACTTTTTGTTACAGTTAAAAGAAACAGCACATGTGTTGTTAAAAGGAAATATTATGACAAAACTAGATTTTAAAACCCATAAATGGGCTTAGTTCTCCCTGCATATCTGAGAATGGTTACAGATTGTTGCAGGCATTCCATGGGATCAGGAAAAAAGCAAAAAAAGTAAGATCCCTGCTGGCCCCAAAAATACTCTAAGGAGGATTAGTTATCAAGCAGTATTTGGAAAAGAGATAAATATCTTAGAAGTTTATGACCTACTCTTTGCATTAGCAATTAGTGTCCACATCTTGGATTTTTAATTTTCCAGCTAAGAATAAGAAAACTATGCTTACCTTTGAGAACACAGAACAAGCTAGTGCAATAATCTTCCATTTAAATAATATTTACTTGCACATCCTAATAAAAATAATAAAATTCTATGTTTTTAACTTCATGTATCTCAAACACTGGGGAAGAAAAACCAGGTAAGAGCTAGAAAATCATCTATATGTCAAGGGTTTTATACTGACCATGTATTTCAAAGCAAATGAATGCAACACCAGATCAGACAGACTGAGCATCCCAAACACAGCTGGAAAGGTTGGTCTGCTCAAGTGATTTTTCTCAGCTTTGGAACTTCATCAGTTTTTTTGGGGAGGGGCACAGATTCCTAAAGAGCAAATAGACACCTCTCCTTTTTCTCAGTGATCTTCCTGGGATGGCTTAGACAGTGCTCACAGACCACTCCTCCTC